ACTTACTAATATTTGATGTTATTGAAATATCAGTCAATATCATATGTACAACTATATTTATGCAGATTTATTTAAAAAAGAAATAAAATATTGGAATTGTCAAAGAGAATATTTACCATGTGTAGCCAAAATGCTCTTGAAACAATAGAAAACAAGTAATATTTTTTAGACAATATGCAAGAAAGCAAATCTCACCTCACTAAAGCATGTGGTACTATCAGATGTGGAGATCCTTTATCCTTTGAAAGGTGAGTCACAGAATTATTTTTATTTATTCTTTTGCACGCCTAGTCATTGCCACGTGCTTGTAATTGGCAATGAATTCTCTTGTGAATTATTTGTTCATGCTTTTCCCCAATTACTTACTGATATATACAAATGCTCTACAAAAGATAACTGCCTGATTTTTTATTAAGTCAGAAAAGGTTTAGAAGTATAAGTCTTGCAAAGACTCAATATTTTACAGTGATTCACTTTGCAAGCTGCTGGCTAGAGGAATAAAACTATCAATATTATTTGACAGTTACCTCTTAGAAAGGGTTCAGAGACAGAGCTAAGAAATACCAGGCTTCATTTCAGGCATCCCCATCTCCACAGATACACTGGGGCTATGCACTTCCCTGTAGTAAATCAGGAGCTCCACATCCCGATCAAACTTGTGTCCTTCAGCCAAGAAAACCTGAGTTAGACACCAGCAAGGAGCCCAATTAGAACTGGCACTGATTGCTCCCCAAGGGGGAGATGAAAGTTCTGTCTAGCAGCCTCTTCTATCAGGATCATAATCAGAAGCACAAGACTTGAAAAGGATTCTATGCTTTGCTTAGTATAGGAAAGAAAGACAGTGTGCATTCCCTGACTGAGTAGAAAAAAATGAGGAGACCAGGGAAGTTGGATGAGGATAAGGTCAAGACAAGGCACAGGAAGCTTGCAACAACAGTGTTCTCTTATTAATCACCTGGGCAGAAGTCTTATCCTCTCCAAGATACTCAACAGGATTCAAGGAGCTGTTGGATTGGACCCTCTCGATGCCATGCTCAGAGCTGATGGTGGCCATCATGCTGAGTGTGTAGGGCAGGTCTACCAAAGGGACTATGGGAGTCTTCACATCCAGGCAACTGTCCCCAGACAGGTCTATAAAAAGGTATCTTAGTTCTGCTTTCCATGCCAACAGGTTTCAACATACCCAGCAACTTATG